ATTATTATTATTATTATTATTATTATTATTATTATTATTATTATTATTAATTCAATTAATATCCGCCCATCTGTCCAAGAGAGCAGGTGTTCCTTTATTTCTCTCAGTTAGATCATCAGTGCTTATCCTGCTTCTATTCCCCAATCTATTCAAATCCAAGTAAATTTCAAAGTCAAGTGGAGTAGTAAATATGCCTTCACTCTGTCTTCTTTATGTAAAAAGGGAAGTATTGCTACTTTCCATTAATAATAGAACTGCTATATTTCTATGATATTTACTATTAAGACAGTTAATGAAGAATCGTATCAGTGACACAGTTATGCTTAATGTAATAATTAATTGACATGTCTCACAACCCATCAACAGATAATTTTTTTCATTTTTTTCTTTTATGATGCAATTCAGCTTATTCCTTTATTCTTACTCTCTTTGTGGCATAGAGTTTTATATCTTTTATTACATTTAAACTTTTTGTAGCCTTCTTTGTAGGGGGAAGATTTCTTACTTAGTCACAGTAAGAATCCTTTGAATCTATGTCTATTTGTTGGTTACATCTTGCATTAAAAAAAACAGTCCATTTCTGCAGGCTGATTTTTCATAAGGCATTGTTTAACCCCAATACATTTTGTTCTTGCCAAAGATGGTACCCAGAGTACATTTGAGATGGTACTTGATTTTCCTGATTATATTTTTTGACTCCCTGCTCTGTCATTTACTCTTGAGAAATGTGAGAAGCACAATGTAATCTGCAACGGGATTGTCTTGATTTTGATATGAAGTATCAGTTGTTTCCTATACAGCTGTGGCATCATTCCACTAGGAAAATATCTTAATGAGCAGCTTTCTTTCAGATAGTTGCTCATTTAAATTTATGAAGGGTGATAGTGATCTGTCTATTTTTGACATAATAGGATGGCACCTCACACTCAAGTTGATACTGTTTCCTGCTTTTTTAATTTGTCATATCTCAGAATCTGTTCCTCTTTAGAAGCTTACCAGCTTATTTACCAGTAATAGAAAAATCAGTAATCATGATTCTTTGAAAAGTTATCTGTGAATCAACATATCCCCCCCCCCCTTGAGTCTATAAAGATTTTTCAGATTTTAGTGATCATTCTTTCAGTCAGATGAATTGAAGATTATGAATGAGCATGTTTTCTTTGGAGAAAGCTCTACCAAAAAACTTACACATTTGATAGGAAGATGAGGTTCTACCCACTCAATAATTACCAGTGAATACAGGGGAGCTTTTGCACTAGCCGAGAAGAATCAATGATGCTGTGTGAATGAATAGAAATGCAAGAGGTTAGAATCATCATACTTTGCTATTATGCAATACCTTCAATGTTTTTTTTTAAAGAATCAGCTTGCCTCTTGAAGGTAATGCTTTTTGTAATGTTTAAACAATACTGATTTTTCTTTTCTTTACATCTCAATCTTCTTATTTCTTTCATTTTATTTCCTTTCTTCTCATCCCTTTCCTTCCAATATAGTTTTTCTTCCTCCTCACTGTAAACACATCCTGTTTTTTCCTCTTCTTTTTTGCAGTTTCCACTTGAAGGATGCACATGTTTGTATTTGTATTTCTATATATGAGAGTGGTTTATGTATGCAAAAAGTGGTTTGTATTTCTGTCAATTACATTTATAAACAATATAGTTTATTTTATGTAAACTTAATTTTAGTATTGCTTTTTTGGGGAATGTTCTAGCAGACACTGAGAAAGAGAGAGAGAGAGAGACAGACAGACAGACAGAGACAGAGAGAGACAGAGACAGAGACAGAGACAGAGACAGAGACAGAGACAGAGACAGAGACAGAGACAGAG